TCGGGGCGCGGTGCGGCACGGCCCTGGGGAGGCTGGTCGGGAGTCGGCTTTCTGCGAGGTGGGCTGGGGGCCTCCCTACCGCCGGTGTCGGACGCCAGCGTAGCCCTGGGAGATCCGCGCTAACAGCTGCCGGAGGGCTGCACGCTGTGTGGAGGGCTGGGGCGGGACACACGCACACAGACAGACAGACACACACACAGAGACAGACAGACACACACAGACACACACACAGACACACACACACACAGACACACACCCCCCACACATATCCTTCGCAGGCTTCATGAGGTGTCCTCTGGTCTGCCCCACAGACACTGTTGGCATTTTCACGCAGCTTCCGCAATGCTGCTTGCTTTTTTTGCGGAGCGATGAGGGGGGCATTGGCTGCGTGCGGGGTGGTGATGGGAAAGGTGCGTGGGTTTTGCTGGCTGTGTGCTCCAGCAGCACCACACGAGGAAACGCAGCACGCTCTGACGTTTCTTAGCTTTGCACTTTCAGTTTCCAGCGCCAGCGGGTAGTAAAATGAAATTGTGGGTCTTCGTTACCTCTGCACCGAGGATCCAAACAGCGATGTGCTTCAGTAACGTGCTACCTGTCTGCAGGTGGCTGTTTGGTCGGCAGCGAGGTGAAGGTAGTTCTCATGGGTTTGTCATCAAGGAGGATAATGGTGTGTATACATTAATACCAAGCCATGTCCCAGCCCAAGCCCATGTGGCACCTTCTGTGAACGCAGCGGGTGTTTACAGGCACGCCTCTCAAGATCCTATCTATAAAAAAGAACTGTGTGGGAATGCCTTGCCTACTTCAGCCAACCTGTCAGCAGCCACCTAACAGCTGTGTAGTGCCAAGGCCTCTGCCAACAAACATCCATTGTGTAAAAATGTGCGATGCCAGGGGTTTTGTCACAGCAAATGCGTGCTGCTGCTTGTATTAACTGGCTGTTCAGATACCAGTTTTGTTAAATGGAAGAGCTGCAAAAGGCATAATGGTAATTCTACTCGGACACTCGATAAGATCACATAAATCACTTCTTTAAAATGTACTGGGAAATAATTTACTTGTTTGGTTCAAGTCTGCTTTCTTTCTTTTCCCCCTGGGGAAGCGTATTTGTAGTTTGATATCTGTAATTTTTGGCAGTAATTCTTAAGATTTCAGGAAAGTCACAGATCTAAAACCACAGCTGGGTCCCCAAGTTGACAGAGGCTGTGGGTTATTACAGCCTTGCCTTGGCTATCACAAATGCTATAGCGAGTGTATCTCATGTTTCTACTCTCTGTCCCTTTTTCTGTCTGAATTGTTTAGACTACAGCCTTTTTTTTTTAGAAAGTGGTGGTTTTCTCACTCTAGAAGTGTGTTCTTTAGAGCGTGGTATTGTTCAGTTTGCTTGGGGTCTTAAAATTGTTTTTCACGGTGAACAATACTATGAATTACTGATCTGTGTCATTCTGGACTTGTTTAAGCATTTGTGAAAAGAGTTCTGGAAGCCAGACTTCACAAGTCTTACTTTTCTTACTGAAGCAGAAGTCCAGGGCTAAAGTGAGGCAGAATGTATAGGATCTTGGTTTCTAGTTATGCATCAATGCAACAGCCATAAAAGTGCGAGGAGCAGGACATCACCAGAGCCGGCTGTCATGCTTCTTTGGATGAGAAATTGAGTAGTGCTGGTATTGGGTTTATTTATGAAACAATTTTCTAAGTATGTTTTGGGACAGTCTTGGTGCAAAATTGTATACTTTTTTTGAAGTTGCCTATTAAAACAGACTTACTTCATGTTAACATTTCTGGTTAGTTCAAAGCGTTCTCATTTCTCCCAAGTGACTTTCTGCCTGCCTGCCTCATTCTGTGGTCTAATTATTCAGTGGACGTCACATCAGAAGTCACATTGGAGGTGACTGTAGTGAACAAATACCGAGTTTATGATACCATTAATTGAACTGGGCAGAAAGAAAAGGGTTAGGAAGAAACACTGCCCAGGCATCCTGTAGTAAAAATATTTTTTGGAAAGGCAAGAACAATTCTTGATCATGTAGGAAAGACTCAGTCATGTCTTGGTAAATCTGAAGCTTTTCACAGCCACAGCTACTGGTTGCTTTCAAATACTTTAAGGTGTTTATTTAGAAAAAATGTCTATAAATTAGGATAAGGGGGCAGAAAACCACTAAACCTCCAACATTAGTGTTGTGTTTTATTCTAAATTATTTTGTTGGAAAATCTTTAGGCATTGCATGTGTGAATACTGAGTGTATATGGCAATAAATGACTTAATTGCTTCTTTTCAACTGGTTGGTTGTGAACTTGCTCAAAGACTTTTTTTTCCTCCACGAGTTGTAGTTATTCTTGTCAGAAATGATGCATCCTAAGGAACAGAATTATTTGAGATCAGTCTTCCTTTTTTCTTGACATTGTATTTGAAAGACTAAATAGCGATTTTTTTTTTAAAGTATGTGTAAAAAGAGAAGACTAAATTCATCTTCTCTGTGAGTTAAATTGGAATCTAGCACTTTTTACCCAGTCATCAGAACATGCATGCGTTAGGTTTTCTTTAACACACCCCCCCCTTACATTTTTATAAATGGTATGTAAACCATGAGGGGAAAAGGCTTACTTTACTGGAGGAAGTCAATATATTAACATTGTTTATGCAGTATTTTTGACAAAAGTATAGTGAAAAATACAAAACTTATTTTTTCATTGTAATAGGCATGCAAGAAGCAACTGTATCCCAATTTAAAGTAACTGAAATACACTGTCTGTAGTGCAGTTTTGTATAGACCTTTCTCTGAACACTCCCATCTTTTAAACTCTATATTAAAATTGTGAAATGGCCTAGAACTGAAACTTGAGGAACACTAGTTAGAATTGGCATGTCAGTTTGGACCTGAGAGCCAAAGGGTCTGGGTACCAATCTGCATAGCTTGAGAGGAAGCTCTACTCAGTGTGGTGAGGTATGAAGAACAGAACAGAAGGTAATCCATTGTATGCTGCTTTTCAAACCAGTGATGATGGTTGTTTATCACACTCTTTTCTGTCTTTCAGAAAAGATGCAGAAGATGATGATGAAAAATCTCCTTTTCCTGAGAATGGGGCCTTTTTTTGCATAGTTCCAGCTTAATTGTGGGACTTGCCATCAAAGGTATGGGTTTGGGGGGGGGGGGCGATGTGTTTGGGTTTGGCTTGGCTTGCATTGTTTTTTTTAATTACAAAAGTGAATAATGTCATGCAGGCAAAAGTTAGTCATGGAGTTATAAAAATGTGGGATGTATTTCCATTATAGGCATTCTTAGTGTTTTCTCCACAATCTCTTTCACTGCGTATTGCTCACAAATTGTAGTTAATAGGTCACTCAGAAACAAGTATTTCAGTACTTAATCTTTCTCTGTTTTGTTTGTTGAGCTGTTATTTCCCCTTCTGAGGAAGCGCTGTGAAGTCATGGAATCTCTGCTGCTCTGGTAAGATGGGAAACAGATGGATTCTTCAGCGGTCAGCAGTGTTTCTAGCTGCCTCTGGGTTTTTTTTGCCCTCTGTGTTTCTGTCAGTCTGCATGAGTTCTTGTTCGTAAATCCATGCTGACTACGCCCAGTCACCTTCTTGTCCTTCATGTGTTTGGAAACAGTGTCCGGGATTATTTTCTCCACCTTCTCAGGGATCAGGGTAAGACTAGCAGGCCTGTAGGTGCCTGGATCCTCCTTCTTGCCCTTGAAAACAGGGTTGACAGTTGCTTTCTTGAGTCCTCTGAAACCTCACCCATCAGCTTAAAACTTTCAGACATAAGCGAGAGTGGCCTCACGATGGCAGGGCCAGATCTCTCAGCACTCGTGGGGCATCTCATCAGGTCCCATGTAAGTGCCATGTCCAGTTTGTTCCGAGGTTTCTTAATCTGATCCTCACTTAGAGTACGTCCTTCTTGCTTGAGACTTTCCCACTGGTCTCAGAGGCGTGGGATTCCAGAAAGCCAGGTGTTACCTGTAAAGAGCCGAGCTGAAGAAGGTGCTTTGACCTTTTTGTATCCTTTCACTGGGTGGGTACCCCATGCCATTCAGCAGCAGGCCTGCATTTCCCCTGGCCTTCCTTACGCTGCTCATGTACCTATACAAGACTTTCTTTTTGGCCTTCATATCCCTCACCGGATTCAACTCCGGGCAGACTTTGGCTTTCCTAATCCCATCCCGGTACACCCAACTGGTGTATCTGTATCAAGTGTGTACACAACCACACACTTGATGTGGCCCCTCTTCACCTCTTGTCTTGTTAGTTATAAGATCCCTCTTGTTCACATCATCCTGCATCCTTTGCTTGCAAACCCTGACTGCCACTTCCTCTCTCATTGTTCCTGGTCTAAGCCTTCCCTTGGCAGATTGACCAGCCTGTTGGCAAAGATGCTTTTACCCCACATAGTGTCAGGTGGATTCTGCCCTTCCTCCCCTGCAGTTCTTGATCCTCAGATAAGGTCCTGTGGATGTAAAAGCTGAGTCTCAGCTTTAGACACAAGATGCACAACCACTTATTGGTCCGCGGGATCTGTCTACTCCTCCTCAAGTCCTTCCCCTTCACCAGCAGGATGAAGGAGACATCACCTGGTTCCCAGGCCCTGGCCTTCCTACTCCAAGCCATGTAGTCATGCTTGATACACTCCTAGTCTCCCTTGGCCGTATCCATGGTGCCCATATGGAAGAGCAGCTGAGGGTAATAGTCTGAGGGCCAGGCTACTACCAGCCTCCATAATAGCCTGTCCATCCAGGACCCAAGTCCCTGGCAAGCAGCAAACCTTGCCAGGCGTCAGGTTGAGCTGGCAGAGGTGCCTCTGTCCCTGCAGCAGGGAGTTTCCCACCGCTGTTCCTTGCCCTGACCTGCCCGCACTGCCACAGGACTTGCATGCAGCCAGCTCACAGGCATCGTTGGACAGAGCTCCCTGTTTTTGCCTGCTGCCAGGGCTCAGAACCTGCTCTGTAGATCAGAGCTGTAGGCAGAGCAGGAACTGTCCTCCTGGTGCTGGAGCTCCCAGGCTTCACCAGACTTGGCATCTCCACGCCCAGCCTGACAAACTAAGGCTCTGCCTGCTTCTCTGTGTAGCAGGGGTTCCTGTAGTTGCAGCGTCTTGGGGGCTGGGGGATCTGGTCCATCTCCGTTTCAGCATCCCTGATGTTGTACAGTCTGCTTGCCTCCTCCCACAGCTCCTTTGCTTAATGAGACAGATCCTCCATCAGTGCACGCTTAGAAGGATATAAAATGCTTTTTAGTTCTAAACCTGCTGGTTGCCAAAGCTGGCTTACAGTAGAGGCACATTAAGAACTGGCAGATTCAGGAGTATAATACTACGTCATTTATATGTACCTATGTGTGTAGTATATTAATACAATGTATACAACAGACTATGGTGCATGCATGATACATACAGTAAAATTAAAAAAGAATAGTAAATACAGACCTAAATACAATTTTAAGGCACAGTAGCTGTATTCAGTGTGCAATATGTGTTTATAAAACAAGTGTTAGCAAATTTGATGCATTTCTAGGATAAAAATAGGCACTTAATACTCTGCTGGACTTGAATGGGAACACTTGCACTAGAAGACAGCAAACAAAGGGTTATAATAAATAGGTGCATAGGGGAAGTGTGGAAAAATGACACATAGCTTATTTGGTTCTGATATTGATTAGAGATCTAGAAAAAGAAAAATACGAGACATTAATGAAACTTGTAGGTGATATTAAGCAGAAACATTGTGAATGCAAGTGAGGATAGACAAACATGAAACAAGCAAAATTCCTGAGAACAAAGATGTCTGACTGCTCAACAAGATGAAATTTCAATGCAACAAGTAGAAGCTGAAAGGAATGGGAGGAAATCCATCTAAAATGGACAAGTACCCTGAAGCCCAGAAATCAGGGAAACTGATGGGTGGGAGAGTAGGTTGGGGTTTTTGTGTGTGTTGAAATATTAAGATATGTATACAAAGGCAGCCTGACAAAAAATAACAGTAGCAATCCTTCCCTTGAAGGTTCTGCTGAACGGTACTTATGACTTTGTGCTGCGTTTATTCTGAAGATCAGTTGATGAAGCTCTGAAGTTCATACTGTAGAGCTTGGTGGGGTTTCTTCAGTCTAAACCAAAAAAGAGCCTGGCCCACTAAGCTATCAGAATGGAAACCTATATGTTTTAACTGTGATTAATAGTGAGAAAACTTAGTATTGTATGATAGCTCTTAATGATCTCCATGAAAGATGTTACGGTAGCGTGGTTGCTTTCTCTATTGGTTTGCTATAAATGCCATGAAGGAGTTTTTTTTAAGCAGTGAAAAATTACAGATTCCTAGGGAAGCTCATGACTATTTTGGCATACAAGCTTTTAAAAAATAATCTTGAAATATAGTTGGGAGATGACAATAGGTAGGTGGGATGAATCCTTGTATAAAATAAGTCATTCCTGGTATTTCTTGTTTGCTTTGCAACCTTCTTACTTTGATGGGAGACTTGTTTTCTTTTAATGTTTATATCCTTTGCTGCTGCCAGCTGGCTGACAGTTGCTTGCTTTACCTATTACTTAATAGTTTCCTGTGTACTTGTTTTGCTTGCATCTTGATGATAAATATTACTTTTTAGCAAGATACAACTAGTTTATGAAATCCTAGAATACTTTTCTTCCCAGTACTTGAACAGTGTATGTGACATGTCCATAAGTTTTCATTTCATTCCTTAAATCAACAGCTGACAGGTTTTCCCCACCCCACCCCCATTTGAATGTATGTGGAACACTGTAGGTTGCATGGTACTAGTTAATGTACTTTTTTTTTTTTTTTTTTTTTTTTTTTTTTTTAATCTTTCTAGGATAATCTTTTCTTCCTGGGTCGTGACTGATTATTATGTGTTTGTGTTCAATGGGACGACGAATTCACTTTGTAGTTGACCCTCAGGGTTGGTGCTGCATGGGCCTGATTATCTTTGTCTGGCTGTACAACACAATCTTCATTCCAAAGGTCATCCTTTTTCCTCACTATGAAGAGGGACATATTTCAGTTGTGGCAATTTTGTGTAAGTCAATTTAACCTCGCCCTTTTTTCTACTAGTAAAAATAGTATCTTTGGGGCAGTAGTTAACATGTATGAGAAAGGTCAGAAAATACAGAATAAAATGAAGGATAATGATAGAGGGTAAGAGTACTGGAACACATCCTACATTTTTATGTTCTGAGAAGTTGAGACACTTCATTCATTTCAAAAATGAATGGTAAAACTTGTTTGTGTGGGAACTGGGAAAAAGCATTGATAGGGCTTCCGGATCCTGTAGCTAGAACTTGTCGAAAGAATTTCAGGCCCACAACTCTTAGTGCTTGTCAGAATTTGGGGTGGTAGTACTGATGGTTGACAAACTGAGTTTTGTTATTTTTATCATACAACTCTGGATGGGTTAGCTAATATGAGTTATGCTAATAGGTTTTGCTGGGGAAAAGGCTTGGATTATAACTGGAACCAACTTTAAAGTGAAGATGGACTATTGGGAATGTCCTTTTACATAGAGACTTTGAGGTGTAAAATTATTGGTGCTTATTAGATAAGACAGTGGAGGAACTTCTTAAATACAGTAGTAAGTTCATAGAGGCATCCTGCTGGTGCTGTCAAAATAAGTGTTCACTATTCCTTTTCTTCTCCCTTTTTAAGACTAGGAAGTACTTAATATATCTGGAATTGAATGAGAAGACTGGGTAATTTCCAACTCAGTGCTGAAACATCTATCTTTTTGATGCAGTCTACAGTAGATACTTTTGAAAAAGACTAACAAATGCTTTTCTTTTGGGTTTTTTTTCAGGTTATTATTTTTGCTCATTGTTTTGTATAGCTTCATTACTAAGAGCCTCAGTAGCTGATCCAGGGAAGCTACCTGAAAACCCAAAGATACCAATTACAGGTAAATTAAGTTGTTTCTGTATAATTAAATGAAAGTTACTTTAATGTCCTCAAAATAAGTAGGAATCAATTTAATTTTTTGAGATTTGATGGAAACCATGAGCTGTCTCTGCTGAAGCCTGTATTGATAATGAAATTAAAATAGCTATGTCACCATTTTTAACTTGTGAATTTCTAGCACTTTCTCTGTGTAGATGGAAAACTTTGATTTCACAACTCATATGCTGTCAGAAGTTTAGTTATGTAGGAACTTCTGCTAGGAAATTTTTCCATGCAAAGAATTTTTTTTGCATTCTGGGCTTTCAAACATACTGCATATACTTCTAACTTGGTAACATTTAATAAAAAATGTTTAATGGTTAGTTATCATAATTCTACAGCTTTTTTCTAGGTAAATTTGTAAGATGCTGAAAGTGGTGGTAGGAGGTACTCTTATGTGGGATTTTACTTGTGCATTTTTTTGCACTTTTTTTTCAGTGATTTAGTTTGTATGGGCTGTTAACCAAACAAATGTGGTGCTAATTACGTTGTGTTGCTATAGAGTAGCAACTTAACATGTGAGAATTCCCTTCTGTCCGTGTGATTTTATGCCACAATTCCTGTATGGTATCTGATGTTTGAGAAATTGGAGGAAATCTGAAACCTTAATAGTTGTCCACAGAGAAAGCCTATACTTTTATAAACTGTTTGATGCTATTAAGGTGCTTGTCTAATGCACAGAGCTTTTACATAGCAGTTAAGAATGGACTAGGGCTGTTGAACAGCATGAGCATTGTCACATTAACAGGAAATACTTTTTGAACGTAGAAAATGTATCAAATGCAGTGAGGGGTGAATATTTCAGTCTTGTCTTGCAATGTGGTGAATGCCAGGAGTAATGTTTTGCTCTGTCTTCCTGGTGTTAGTGAGAATCTGGGATGATGTTTTTGGAAATGTGATCTGCTTAACCTCAGCACAGATGTTATGATGGGCACAAACAAGACAGTAGATAGTAGGAAGGGATGTGTCTCCCTGGGATTCAGTTGTGAAACACTGATCACAGAAAACCTCATGTCAAGAGTTCTTTCTGCTCCTGGTAACTGACCCTTTGATACTGTAAAACGAAAGGTGGCTCAGAGTTTGGTTCTGCAGAGTTCTGGCTGCAGGAAGAACAACATAGATTCTGCAACCTGGGCTGGAGAATGAAGACACTCAGAACAGTTACAGCAAATTACATTTATGACAATGTTCATTTACCTGCAAAATAGCAGGATGAGGACAAGATTCCCATTGTGCACAAATGTTTCTTTCTCTTCTAGAGGATCCCTTCGAATAGCTCTGCAGCCTCTTTGTGCTCCATTCATTTCTTACAGCAATGATACTTTGTAGATACTTGTGCAGATGGAACGCTTAGGCTTGACTGTGACATTGATGTTATCATTTGGTGTATGCTGTATCAGGGGTTTTGTACTTTCTAAAGCACTTCAGGTCTCTGGTACTCTCTAGCTTGACAGGAAGATAGACTTTTGCATGGTAAAAATTCTATTCAAAAATGACGTTGGGGTGTTTCTGAACTCTGCTGGTAGCTACCCTATTAGGGACTGACACCTTTGTGATACTGGATTTATGGGCACAGATTGTAAATCAGTTTCCATCTGGCATTATTACTAGTTTAATGATCTCAGATATTGGGCTTCCTTACTTCCAGTGTCCAAATGTTATTTTGCAGCAAGAAAGACAAGATTAGAGCAGCCTGCAGGTGGCTCAGAAGTGCTAAATTTAACTTTATTTTGTTTATATAGGGACAGTGCTTTACCATGTAAAATTTCAGAATGCCCTGCTGTAAAAGCAAAGCTTATTTTTTTTCCCCTGAGATTTAAGAATTTTTTTTGCATCCAAAAGGTTCTATTTAGGTAGAAACAAGATTCTCAGTCATGCACCTATTTTCCGTAAAGATAAAAATGTAAAAAACATATATGCTTTTGTGAATGGAAGTATTACAGTGTTGGTGTGATTAATTTCCTATGTGAAGATGAACTTTCTGAATATATAATTTGAATTCTCATTTTCAAAGGCTTCCTCTAATTTGGGTGGTACAATTTGAGACAAGTAATAGATAAGATGAGCAATAGTAACTCCTGGTAGTTTCAGCTACTCGGTGTCTGGAGATCAGCTTTAAGAATCTCACACTGGGCATCCAAAAGTAGTGTATATTTTTAAATACAAACCTATCCTCTATCTGTTCTATGGTTGCCTTATGTGTAAAGTTGCATGTTGTGAGATGCGTGTCTTAAAATGCTTTGAGATGGAAGCTGCTCCTGAAGTGTCCATTGTGTATTTTATTTTAGTTAGCTAGCTTTGACAAATTTCAGTAGCAGTATTTCCTCAAGAGGTTTTGGAATGGCAGGGAGATTCATGGTTCTGTCTAGCAGATATGTTTTTTCACAGTAGATGTGTAAGAAAATAATTGAATTACGGTCTTCCTTGTTTGAGTGACAGCTTTTGTGTTGTAATAATTATTCCCTAGAAATATATAGGAGGAGAGAGGATTTTGGAGAAGAAAACTGGCACAGAGTGTCAGTAATATCTTCCAGTTTAATTAAGGTGACAGTGGGGAAAAAAGTTCTTTATATGCTGCTTACCCTTCTTGGGTCACAGTAAGAATTTTTTTCTGTTTGAATCACTAGCATATAGGTTTATCATGAGCATGCTGTACTGAGTTTAAGTCTCTTTAAGGTGTCTTTACATTTTCACGTAGAACGAGAATATTGGGAATTATGTAACAAATGCAATATGATGAGACCAAAGCGTTCACACCATTGCAGTCGTTGTGGACATTGTGTGAGGAGGATGGATCACCACTGTCCATGGTAAGGCCAGAACATTTGTCCTAACAAGCTACTGCTGTTTTAGTGAGTAATTTCAAAGTTCATAGTCTTGACTATTGTTCATTTGTCGTATTGCTTTCCCAGTAGTGCTTAAGCATTTAGGCTTTTAGAGCAGGGAGAACATCTCCAAGACTTTCTTATGTCTACAAGTAAAGCTGGTAGTAAGAGCTGTTGCAGTGTAACATTTTATCATTGACAAATTGTTAAATGCCATATAGTTTTGGAAAATTAACATATTTTGTTTAAAGATTTGGAATTTTTGCTTCTAAAACTGATCTCAACATAATTAACTTGTACATTGCAGATCTATTTGATTTGTTGCAATTTAGATTCTGATGCTGGGAAAAAAATATTTTTTCTAGGAATCTAAACAATATTTATGTTTCTTGGGTTGAAGTAAAGATTACAATTTCAACATAAGGGGGATGCTCTTTATCATAATAAAAATAAATCATGGTTTCAGACAGTTTTTGGTTTTTAGTTTACTGAATGGCTGTGCTGAGTAGAAAATGTTAGTGACTCCTACTGTGCCCTACTTGTCACAGCCTCTCTGATTTTGTGGTGAAATTGCTTGTTTTAGTGTTCTCTAACTAGTTGCAGTTGAAATGAACTAGTCTGGCTATTTAAACTGATTGTAGCTTAAAATGAAAATAAACATTTGTGTCAGTAGTTCTGAGGTATCGTTTCCAGCAAGACAGCAGTGATGAACTGCAGAGGACAGAACTGACATCAGGATCCTCCTATGTTTATCTCGCCATGACCCTTTTTGTCAACTGCTATTTCAGAAAACAGTGCCAGGATAGTGCTAGTATAGTGCTTGTCTGTGCCAATGCTGGTATGATACTGCACCCTGGCCACATTTTTGTATCAGTGTAACTTCTCTGAAGCAAACTAGACTTAGATTTCAAAGGTTTTGAATCTCAATATTTCTAGAATCCTTGTGATTGCTTTACTCCTTTAGGTTGGAGTATGCAGAAGGAATTTCTGAATAGAGACACCTGTCCTCTCTTCTGTATCTTAGGCACCTTCCTAAGTCATGCTTATTTGTCATTGGGATACCCTGTGATCACGTTTATTTCAAACTGTTCATTTTCATTTCCAGTTTTTGGAACTCTGCATGGTTCACAACCAGTGAAATGATTGAGTAGCAGAAGATAATACATGTTACTGTGAAATTTTGCAGCCTTTTAAAACATAGTTTTGTTACTTGAGTATTCCTTAGCATTGTAGGAGTATCTTTGCTCTATGAAGATACAGAGAAATTTGACTCCTATGCTAAGCAGTGATCTCAGTAATGCAACCTACAGTTCAAGTGGCAGTGTAAGGAAACTCCTCCTTACAGTAACATTTCTAACATACAGACCTTCACTTTGATTAAGAATGGAGTGATTAGTCAGTAGTTCTTATGTTTGCTCCATAAATAATCATAACTTCTCTTATTCACAATATTATAACTACAGTGTTAAAGTCTTTATATTTCTGTCTTTACATATGCACTTTGTTTCCCTGCAGGATTAATAATTGTGTTGGTGAAGACAATCATTGGCTGTTTTTACAGCTGTGTTTCTACACTCAAATCCTTAGTTCCTATACGCTGATACTTGATTTCTTCCATTACTACTACTTTTTGCCTCTGAAAAAAGAAAACTGGGTAAGAATCTGTTTTGTCTATGAAGTGAATAAATAACTAGTATTACAATATAATTCATTTTGGGATCTAGTTATTACACGTTTCTGCTGGCTCAGTTGTTGACAGTGAAGAGAGTTCATCTAGATATATGTTACCAAGTGAGCAAACTGATTTATGGTAAGTAATAAAATACTTTCTAAAAGGGTATATGATTTCTGTGTGTTAAAAACACAACATTGGTTTTCTTAGAACTCTAGGAAAGGAGGACAGAACCAGTTAGTTCCTTTAAAAGTGATTAGTGAATGCTGGGAAGAAGCAAGGTAAATACTTCAGGTTTATTCAAGTTTCTTTTTACTTTCTCCAAGGTAAATTTATGCAAAGTATATATCTGTCCTAAGCCCCTATTTAAAAATGCTGATACTGCCAGAAAAATGAGAAAAAATATATGATCATTCTGAAAGGAGCAAAATGTACATTAGTTTTGAAGCAATATTTTGTGTTGCTTTGAAAAGGTCATGTGGGTTAATGGAGAATTAAGTTTGGTTTGTTTTACTTGGACTCTATGCCATTATCATACTTCAACATCTTGTCATCAGAAAAATGCAGTTGAACACACAAACAGAGAAAATGGACTTACAGATTGGAATAGGATAAAAAATGATGGAATTTATTCCATTATGTAATTGAAGTTGTAAAGTCCCTGTGTCTGGTGCTCATTCATGTCTGTTATCTGTAAACTTTGGAATATTCAAGAGGTTTGCTTGAAAGTTGCTGAATGCTTGAAAGTACTAGGACAGCAAAGCTGATACTCTTTATTTAGAAGAAAATATTATGAGATCTTGCTCGTAAAGAAACATAAAAACTTATACCCAAAATCTAAAACGGCCTTTGCATTTGTACTGGGCTGTGACAAACACAAGCTCACTAAAGAGAAAAATCTAGAAAACAAGTTTAAAACTGAAAATTAGATAACATTCCAGATGTCCTAAGTGAAGAGACTAAGGCCATCCCAGAAGTTGGTAGTGTACTCTAAATTTTCATGAGATTTTTTTCCAAGTACTGAAGTGCTGCAGACTTTTTTATTCTGTGTGATGTGTCGCCCTAGCATACTCTCTGTTGGTGACATCACACCCATCTTTCAAGGCTGCTGAAGGCTGGCCTTTTCTCCACTTTGTTGAACAACTTAAGTTTGTTACATTATTTTGTATCCTAAATGGTATAAAATAAACTTGTTAAACTTACTGAAAAATTCTACGTCTGGAAAAGAAATGGGGCATAGCCTTCCAAGCTTCTTATTTGCTCCCATATCATTCTGCAGTGAATGCGATGTTTCCCAGAAAGTGTATGTGAAGATAGATAGATGTGTCAAAGGAGAGCTGAAAATGTAGGAAGACAGTACTCTTGGATCATCCAGAACTGATAAAGTGTTAAATTCAAGTTGATAGATACCAACTTTTTATTATATAGAATGTACCAAAGTTGAGGGGGTTTTGCAGATCTCTCTTAAAATAACTTCTAAAGAAATTTAATTTCTTAATTTTTTCATCTATATGAATATTTCCATTTAAATGGTTTAAGGGACTCCAGAAATACGGAGAAGAGACCTGTAAAACATGTCTCTTAAAAAGGAGTACTCACATTTTTCACTTTGTTTCGAGTTTGTTCATACATGGGCTTTTCATATTCACCTTGTTTTACAGGCATTGTGAGGTTTGAAGGAGCTATTTTGATTTGTTCTAGCTGCATTCAAGTTGAAAAGGATATGAAATTGCAGTCTTTCTGCATTAGTGAAGAAATCTGTTATCTGAGTAAAATTTCTTATGGATGTTACGGTTTGGGGTTTTGAAAAATTAATGGTTTTGAAAGGTAACTAAATGTAAATGCTTTGCTTCTAGTTCCAGTAGCTTTGTAAACTTCTTTTTAATTTGTAAACTAAGTTAACCTACTGCACTTCTGGACAGACTAATTTTACACTTTCTGTATTTTGAAGGCTTCTCATGCACAGGGTTTGCAGGTTTCAAGTGCAGAGACTTCTCAGTGATACTGATCTGAATACTGGATTGGCCTTGCAGTGCTTTTGGAAGCAGTGTTATTTTCCAAAGATAAAATCTTTGTATGAAGTTGGTAGTGCTTCTCTAATAGTGACATTTCATGGTAGAATATTTCCTTGTCATTGTGAGAGTCCCCTGAATGCTCTAACTTACTGTAAGTAAGTACACTGTGTTTAGATAACAACCCCAAGGTCTGTTTGTTAGCCTTGCTTTTTAAAAGCAGGTGGAAGGGGAACCAGATTATTTCCCTGGAGATGGTCTGTGCAAGAAGGGGAAAGGGAAATCATGTTTACTTCAGACAGTTTACAACATCTAAAGAGGTAATAATAAATAGTTGTTAATAATAACAGTTCAAAACCAAATACATATAAAACTTCATTCTTGATAGTTTAACTGGGTTAATTCCAAGTCTTTTGGAGAGAGGCCTACTTTTAATACATCTACCCTTTAGAAGATGTGACAGGTTAGGAGGCAGAATACATATGCAATACCTATTTTAACCCAGTTTAATGTAGTTGCCTGAAGAGTGGATCAGGTTCCCATGTTTGGCTGCCTAAATTTACAGAGACTCATGGAAAAAACAGAGTACTTTGAGTAGTTTTGTTTTGTTTTAGCAATGGGTTTATTTGCTTTATCAATTTGCATATAAGGACACTTCAAATGGCACTCTTCCATTTGAAAAACTGGATCGGTGTTATAGTATATAACATTCTGTGGCTCAGCAAGATAAGTATGTTTACACTGTATAGAAAAACTTAGTAGACACAGCAGGTCTGGTCTGTTCAGACCTTTGTTAAGTCTAGTATTACACTGAATAGTATTTGGATTTCTCAGTTTTTCATCTGCAGGATTGGGGGGCACGCACTGAAGTACGGAAAATTAAGAATAATTTGTTTGGGTGTCTAGTCAATATATCTGCCTGGAAGATGACATCACAGTCAATTAAGCTGATATTTTAAAGTGTTGCTAAGGATATGATGCCATACAACTGTGTGCAACAGAATAATTTGTCAGAATTATGTAATTTTGACATCAAATGGACAGGACCAGTGAGATCTGCTTACTATTAGTTAGGTTTTTAGGCAAGCATCCTGCAAGATTCTTTTAGTCATCGTATGTCGATTAAAGCCGAAGTACCACATCATTCCAGAGACCACAGTACCTCCTACCTCTCATGAAAGTGCTATTCTTTGTCAAAATTTTGGCTGTATCTAAGAACTTATATTTTCTGAATTGACAGGGGCTAGTGTTTAGCACAGATTCAAAAAACTGGATAATTTTTTCTAAACAGCCATCTGGAATTAGCTTACTTCCTGCTCATTAAAAATACTTGTGAATTTTTTGGCAGTGTGCCTTCATCTTAATTTTTATTCTTTGGATATAAAATAGTACAGAAGCTGTAGAATTAAAATTGCTTTTAATGCTGTTGTGAAATAATCATTTTATCACAGTACTGATTAAAGCATTACGAACATATGATCGCTGTATGCATGTTAGTGTTTCCTTCTGAATGAAAACTTGTGGTTTTATTTTGAAAGGGTTAAGTAAGAAAAAACCCAAACATTTTTAATTGGTATACTAAGGTAAGGGTGATAGACCTGAAGCTAATGGAGGAAGCCATTTCAAGAGAGAGACAATCTTTCAGCTTCAAGTCTTATATCAAAAAATTGCTTCAGAGTATTCTTGGCTCTTGTAATTGATACACTGTCAGAAAGATGTATTGTGGTTATTGCTTCTGTTTGTCCAGCAGGAGGAGTACAATTACTGCTAGACATGAAGGAAACGGTAATTAAATTGTCTATGTGAGATCCTAGCAGAAGGAAAATACGTAATTCAAATAAAACAGCATGAATTCCTCTGCTAGCTTTGGTGATTTTCAGAGGCTAAGTCTGGAATGTTCTTAATTTTACATCTTCATTAAAAAACATTGAGGTCAGGAAGTTTGTATCTTTTAGGAAGTATTCAATCTTGTGGACAGTGAGATGAGAAGAATAAATACTACTCATGACTACATAGCTGTTCGCTATATGGCTGTACTGGCACAGATTCTAGACGCAGCTGGTCAAGTAGAAGCAAAAATAAATGCTTTAGTGGTATATTTTACCTGATTCACAGGAGGCTTTTGATCTTTTCTGCAAAGTTTTAAGTTTTGCTGAAACATTCTGTTTGCTAGAAATTTTGCTAGAATTATTGTCGTAGCAGAAAACACTGACATATTAAAACCTAACCCCCTTTGCTGTGGTTTAGTTTTGTTTTGTTCCCAGTTCTGCAGTTATCCATTGTATATTCTGCAGATATTGTTACTTAACTGATTTTTAAAGTGTTCCGAACTCTATTGATACAAAGGGGAAGAAACATCATGGAGGAAGCATTGTGGCAATATCAGCCTGCTCTGTCTGGGATGCAGCTTGCCTAATTCCAAATAAAAGGTGTTGGGAAATATTTATTAGACTTTGTGAGAAGATTATTTACAGTAATATTTATTTCAATATTATGTATTAACTAATACTAAGTAAAATCTGGAAATATGTATCATCCAAAGTCCATTTATATTGTAAAGAGAATCTAAAGGAAACCTTTTCTCTTAGGGCCTTGAAATGACCTGCAGGATGCAAGAGCTTTAAAAAACTGAAAAAAAATCAACATTTTCCTTCTCAGTGTTCTGCAAAACCTAACCCTACTCTCCTCCTGTATAATTATAAGGACAGTATATCAATACTGAATTAAGTTTGGAAAGTAAATATGTGGTCTTTAGAGAAAAGATAGGAATGGCTGAGAGGATAACATTTTATTAAAACTTAATATATTGATAGTGTCATTTTTATTAGAAGATTGCATGGTCTTTTCTTAAAATCAGTTCTAGCCTGAAATGATTTCAGAATTAATACTTTGGATCAAAAACTGTGTAGACAGTAATTTTTGGAATCAGAGTGCTATTCCCATTTTCACTTCAAACCGAATCAGACTGCAAAATTACTCATTCAGTAGACCTGAAATAGTCCTGAATCAAAAAGTGCTTTACATAAACATCAGTTGTTATTAATAATAAATACCTCTACAAAAGGGCTTATTAGAATGCAGCTCGTGTTCTGTGAATTAATTTTTTTTTTTTTCCTTAACATGAGTGATTTTTTCCCTTGTACCTCTCCTTCCTCTTTCCTTCTGCAAAACCTGCAGTCTCTATTTTTTGTTCTGCTTTTCAAATCCAACAGCCTAGCTTTGTTCTGTATTCTACACTGTTTTTATGATAGCTAAGTTGATAGACTGACTTCATCACCAGCCTGAGACAGACATCCCAAGCATTTGCAACTAAGAATAGACAAGCAGGTTAGCATATGTTTATATGAGGTATCCCTTCCCCTAGAGAAAGATGAAGTATCTTTATATTAAGATTATATTATTTTATTTATATAATAATTCGTTAGTATATTAATTTCCATGTCTATTATATTTCAGTAAAGACTCAAGCTTTAATAAATGAATCTTACATTGTAAATGAAAATGTATAAAGATTGTTTTTCACTTTGTCTTTTTTGGAACAGATACAGTAGTTCTGCATTTGTCCTGCCGAAAGCCCTGTCCTCCGTACGGAGTGTGAGGTTTTTAAAGGAATACTGTAAAAACTTGAAAATAATAACCCAGTACTGCAGATGGCAGGGATCTGTTAAATGTTTTCATGCTTTTTTTTGTTGTTGTTAGCAGGGTAAAAAGAAAGTTGAATTTGGAAGCAGTGGTCACGTCATTGATTTTGACCTTGAGCTGGACCCATCATTGTTTTTGACCTCTCCTATAGGGCAGCATAAAGCTGTAATAGCTGTTTCCCTAGTCAAAGGAGTAGCATTCATCCATAACAGTTGGTTCTCACAAATGAAGACATGGCATGTGCTCTGCCATGGGGTTGAGGAAGTCTTGTGTGAATCTGTCATGGAGACTGGCTTTCTGTGGAATGCTTTGGTATTACCTGTTAAGATAAAGATGCCAGATTTCATCGTTTGTAATCCATTCCTCAACATAATCCTACAGACCTACACTTTGTTTCTTATTTTGTGACAAGTTTCTATCATACACATTTCTATCCATTTTTATAAGTAGCCAAGAATCCTCACAGTTTGACTGGATGGATAGTAGTAGCGGCCAAACGGAACTTAAAAACCTTTAGAACAGGCAGCAGCCTGGGGGGGAGGACACATCTGAGCTGTGTAGGAAAGGCTGTGTAGAAAGACAATGGCAGCAACCCATGTGAACTGGAGTTTTGACAGAGCAGCTAGGCTGTGAGGATGACAAAAAGGAGAGGAGAAAGGGGCTACCTGAAGGGCAGCTCTCACGTTGTTGAAACCATCCATTTAACATCTGTGCCAAGGCCGCATCATCAGCCTGGCCTAACGTGGAAAAAAGCTGCTTTGGGACAAAACCCTATTGTGCCATGAGGGAGTGTTCATGCGTTGATGATGTTAGCTTACGTGTGCTTATGCTTTGTGGCTCAGCCTGTGTATTTCTTTCTCTTAGCACAGGTAGTGCGATTCTGGAGGTTAAGGGGGGCACACTGTCTCACTGCACTGAGATTGGTGAGTCCTAAATGGTGTTTGAACAAAAGGATCTGTTTGAAATACAGCAAAAGAGGGATTGATTAATTATTGACTAGTCTTGGGCATTGATTTATTATAGTTTTGATTGGTTTTCTGAGCTGGGAAAAATGTTTTGTCATTTCTGAGAAGGAATAATAAAAATGAATTGACTTGAGCTTTTATGTAAAGCAGCAATATTCTAAATGTATAATTATTACTGTGATTTAAATGGATTTTTTTGCTATTTTCTTGGAGTCATGTTTCTATTTCAATGCAGAATTGTGCATGTAGCTCTGTTACTAAGGTGTGATTACTAGAAGACTCTACTCTTGCATATACTTTGGTTTTCTATAGAAAAATGCTGCTATGTCCATACAGATGCTAGGTGAGGGCCCCGTATTGATTTACAGGTCATCATTGCCTCAGAGACTTTGATTCTCCTGGGGTTGTGTAACGGCTGGAAAAAACACTGGTGATGTCACCTCTTCTCACTAGTAATTCAGCAAGCCCCAGTCTTTTGTGGTAGGTGCTTTCATCTTTTAGAGAGGAAGGAAGGGAGGAAAGACACAGTAGTATTCCTTGGTCTTCGCTTCAGTTTGAGAGGTCTTTCTTTTTCTGTACGCCTAGTTTGACATGAGTTAAAAGGGCCAAACGCAAAATGCAACGTGTCGTCTTTACACTAGGATTTTCTGTTGTCATGTGCTGGGTGATGTCCCTTTTTCCTGCT